CTTCAATTTGCCATTCATGCATAATAGTTTCTAATTCTTTACTTATGTGTTCTGCTGTATGTGGATATCGAACATATTTTATTGTAAGGACCAATTCACACAATTTCTACTCATTATTAATAAATACACATGTTATGCCAAGGTAACCATGGCAGCTGCGAGCCGTCCACAAATCTATACTTAATGATACTGAAATAGCTTTGCTAATTAATTTTTCTTGGAGCTTGGGTAAACTATAATCATATGCTGTATAGATTAATTTTTTTACAGTTTCCATACATGGCATTATGAATGCTGGGTCTAGGTTATAAATAAATTTACGGAACACTTTATTAATTACAACATGAATAGGTTGTGAATCATTTATTATCCAGGTCGTAAGAGATTGTTGTAATTGAATCTGACAGGCTTTCAGATGTTTTCTATTTCCTGATAAGACTTGTTTTTTATTCTAAATTAAGATTTTTTATTAATTAAAAATATATATTAAATATTAACTAATATAGTAATAGATCTAATTACAAACATTAGTTTTTCTATTGTTGCATATTTCATAGGAATTCCGAAGATGGACAATTGCATTTCCTGTTGACCCCCTGGAATAGACATACTGTGTACCACATTTAGTACCATCATCTTTTTTTTCTTGACATATTATTACGGGAGTGTTATCTTTATCTACACCTTCTTTAAAATGTTTCCAGATCCAACTGGTTTTAGTGTGTTTCTCACCTCTAGTTAAAGCTTTTGTCTTTTTACTTGAACTTTTGATTGAAGAAGAGTTGTTAGAACGTTTTTCTGACATTTTTAAAAAACTAATGCTGAGGATTTAAAAAAAAGTCAAAGCTAAAACTGATAAACAATATACGTATATATATATTTATTTTAACAATTACAATTTAAAAGTTTATTACTATTTATTTCTCATAATGGCAGGAATAATGAGTTTTGCAGCTACGCTGCGCTACTTGCAAAATAAAGAATTCATAGTTTTATTGTATCTTTGTTCAGTTATATTTTTTAAATTTTTAAGAGAACGGCAGGAATAATTAACTTTGAAGCCTACACTACGCTACTTGCAAAATAAAGAATTCACAGTTTTATTACATCTTTGTTTAGTTACATTTTTCAAAATTTTAAAAGAACAGCAGTAGTAATGAACTTCGTCACACTACTTGCAAAATAAAGGATTCGCAGTTTTATTACACCTTTGTTTAATTACATTTTTTAAAATTTTTAAGAGAAATAACAGTAAGAAATAAAATGATAAATCAATTGTATATCCAGAAATAAGAGGTATGTATGTACGTATATTAACTAAATATGCAGAGATTAAGCATTAAAAGTA